GTCCGATCAGCCCCCAGGCCTAACACCGAGCTTTTATCAGCCAGGTGCACCCGAGCTAAAAAGTGCCTATCCAACGTATGATAGAGGACAAGATCCCTATGAGCACGGGCACGGCCCCTACCAGCCCCACGAGCCGGGTTACGGTCTCTATCAGCCGGGATACAGCCCATACGATGATCAGATTCCCGATCCCAAATCCCGAACGCTGGCGATTCAGAATGCAAAAGCCTTTTTACTGAAGAGCAGCACGACATCTGGCCTGAACCTGTAAGTCTGGAAAAGGGACACAATTGAAGCACGAGTGGAGGGGAAAGTAGTGTTGGTAAAAGGGCGAAGGATTATGTTAAAACAGGGAGGGATGCTAGGGAAGTATACAGAGAATGGGAAAATATGTTATGATACTTGTGTGTGGCCAACACCTTTCAGAATCAAAATTCCTAAGGGAATTTCTAGAGTTCAAAGGGAAATTGATTTGATTAAGAGCATGTTTAGATTCAGCTTCAGCTCCCGAGGCAGGTGTGGTTTATACCAAAAATGGAAGTACTCCTAAATATGTTATAATCAGGCTAGTTTCAAGCCTAATCTCCTATAGTGTTCCATGATCCCCTTTCATCTTACTATTCTAATGATTTCTCCAATGCTCCAGGTGATTAGCTTCCACTTTTGATACTAAAAACATAATACACTAAGACTTTTGTATAGTAGACCAATAATATTTACATTTATATGACAGATATGATCATCTTGCTAATATGCTAACAAAGATCCTGGATGAGCAGCCCCCAAATGCAGTGGACATAATTGAGAATATCAGCAAGGATGTGAAGTGGGCTCAGTTTCAGAAAAAAATGGACACCCTTCGAGATGAACCTGAGGTTCTTCCAGCATTTGAAGCTGCAGAAAATCGCAAAGCTTTGTTTCTCAAGGCAAATGAAGAAGGAGATGAAGGACTAGAAGAAGAGGTAGTGAGTTATTAACAAGGAAAAATAGATATAATGAATACCAGTGAAAATGGGTGGGAGGATGGCGGGAAGAGAAAGGAGAAATGGAAGAAGTTGTGATCTGCCTTGTAGTATTGCTTCTCATGATCATCTAAATAATTGCACCCACAGTACCATGTACCCTGTTCATAGAGCTGGTCCCATGTCTAGTTGTGAAGAAGAAAACCCATCTGGTTACTTAGTTGGGATTTTTTCCTGTAGTAAATCTAATATCCTGAGCCTTTAAAATCACAGATGTTTTAGAGATGATGAACAGAAAGTTTACGATCTCTCCTGTATTGGAATATGGAACATTGCATCCAAATTTCTTTTCTTTATCTAAAAGTGACATTTCTTTACCCAATGTGACCAGAATTCTGGACATTAGTTTCAGAATATTGTGCACAGCTGCTAGTGTAAAATAGAGAATGGAGAATTTTGTCATCCTTCCCCCTCCAGCTGTGATTCCAGTCTGTCCTTCTACAACTGAAAAATAAAAATAAAAATATGGTAATAATGAAGAACTACTAGAACTGAAAAGCCACTTGTTAAAACAGGGGATTTTTCAGTATTCAGTTGCTTATATGCAGAAACATTTCTACCCCATGAAAAATTAGGAGAATTCTTATAATAAGCAAGGGAAACTAATCAACGGGATGTTGATTTTCACACGAAGTTACCATTATATATTCAAATAAATTGCCATTGCAGAATACAAATACTAACAACAGAAGAGAGTCTTTCATCTTTTCTGTAGCCTGTTACTTATGTTACAGTAACAGTGTACAATGGTAAAAGTAGAAAAAAAGTAGGGCATTTCAGAAAGGAATTTTTAAGTTTTCATACACCTGTCTATCTTGCTTTCATATAAGAAACCTGGAAGGGCCAAAGAATTATTTTTTCAGATGGATTATTATACTATTCTTCTGCTCTAACTCAGGATCTTCTTCCCTAGGGAGAGAACCCTCTACCTAATGTGATGGAAACAGCCTTTTATTTTGGAGAGGCTGGAGTTGGCTTGAGCAAAGATGAAACCTATCACATATTCCTTGCCCTTAAAAAACTAATTAGTGCTCAGCCAATCCAGACCTGTCGCTTCTGGGGCAAAATCCTGGGCCTGGAGATGAACTATATTATAGCTGAAGTACAGTTCCGTGAGGGGGAAGGGGAAGAGGAAGAGGAAGAGGAGGAAGCAGAAGAGGAAGAAGTTACTGAGGAAGGAGATAAAGAGATGGATGAGGAGGTTGAAGACGAAGATAAGGAGAAAGAAAAAGAATATGAACCACCGAAGTCCACCTATAAGCCCCCACCTGTTGTCCCAAAAGAAGCAAATGGGACTGGGGCTAATAAGTATGTCTACTTTGTCTGTAATGAGCCAGGCAAACCGTGGGTGAAGTTGCCTCCGGTGACACCAGCCCAGATTGTCTGTGCCAGGAAAATCAAAAAGTTCTTCACCGGTAGGCTGGATGCTCCTGTCGTGAGCTTTCCTCCTTTCCCTGGAAATGAGGCCAATTACCTGCGTGCACAGATAGCTAGGATCTCGGCAGGAACCCATATCTCTCCCATTGGATTTTATCAGTTTGCAGAGGAGGAAGAAGAAGAGGAGGAGGGGGGAGGAGGAAGAGATGCATATGAAGAAAACCCTGATTTTCAGCCTCTTTCTGTGGCTGATATGTCGGATTCTGTCTCCATGTGGGTACACCACGTACAGAGTATTCTACAGCAGGTATGTTCTGTCATAGCTTACGTGTACCTCGGATACCATTCACACCATAGTACTCGTAGGGTTTCAGAATGTAAATTAAACTCCTCACCTTTGGACTATTTACCAGAAATGGTATTGGACTGAAATATTTTTCTACAGAAAATATATTTGATATAGTATATCATATATAAATAAGTTGCACATATTTACATATAGCATCTTATATATATATATGTATATTTAGGAAACTTCTAGGTTTAGTACTTTTTTCAATGGTATATTCTTGAGATTGAAACCTATCTTTAGATTAACAGTATGGAGTTAGGCCTTGATAGATAACAATAACTTCTGGTAATCTCCTATATTAGTTTTTCTCTTTTGAAGTCCTTACTTAACAAAAATGTTTTGAATTCCCTTTTTTTTGGGTAGAATGCTAAAATGCAAATAGTTTATGATTGTATGCTAATTGGAATTTATTTGATGTTTTCTCATTTATTTTTTGTTGCTTATTTTCTGCTGTGAAACATGAAAATGAAAAAGCTTAAAACAAAAATATTGTAAATAAAATTGCAGCACAAAATATTTGGGATATCAGTCTAGTGCTGGAAAGAGTAATTAGATGATCATTGCTGGATGACTTGCTGGCCAGTCTATCAATTCAAGAATGCCAGTGCGGCAGCAAATGGTAAGAAGTAAGGTTTAAAGTTATTACCAGCAAACCAACAGTTGTAAAAATAAAATCCATATGCATTAGAATCTTAAGAACATTTTGTTATGTTCCTCTGACTGGTAGCTAAATAACAAGGCAGACTTTAAAAGGAAGGGCCAAAGTCTGTAAGTGGTAGCCTCTTAGTTTGCACTAACTGGTAGTCTAGCAAGAATATAAACCAAACTGGCAAGGAACTGAAGACTACAAAATAACAAAAAGCTGATGTCAGAGGTAGAAGGTTATTCTGAAATAGTAAGCAGTGATGAGGGAGGAATGAGGGATGTAGGGAATGCTCTGCCAAAAGGATACAATATTCTCCCAACAATATACCAGTTATGGAATATATATATTTTTCTTTGCCCCCCCCCACCCTCAACAGTGTGTGCATGTGCCTGAGACAATTGTTTTAACTGGCTTGCATTCTTTCAGTGATTGTTATGTGTATTTATTATTTTTCTGTATCATTTTTAGGGTCGCTGTACTTGGTTTAATCTTTTTCAAAAACCAGAGGAAGAAGAAGAGGAGGAGGAGGAAAAATCAGAGGAGCCAGATGAACTACAGCAAGAAGTAGGACCACCTCTTCTCACTCCACTCTCTGAAGATGAAGGTATTCTTCATGGAATATGAAGTTTTCCATAGAGAACCACTAGCAGTGTTGGTATTTAGGTAGTAAATATTTGAAGTTATACAAATCCGATGCTCATGGAGCAATATAGTTTGCCCCTGCAGGGTAACCGCATTCTTTTACAAAATTGATCAAAAGCAAAATGGTTAACAATATTGACATTAAAACTGCAACGATTGGGTTTGCTAGTTAACAAATCTTCTTGAGAATAAAGGGAAAAAATACCTCAAACTTGTCAGGCTACTGCAAGTTCAAGACAGCTCACTACATGAAATACATTTAGCTATTTTTCCATCATCCTTTTTGACACAAAAAAGTGTGTATACACGTGTAAATACATACATATGTACACACGTGCATAGATATACAAATAAGAATTTAGATCCTGTAGCAGATTACTGCAGCAAATCAGGAGAATATGGGAACCTGAATATTAGATTACATCAATAGTAAATTATTTTCCTATTCTCCATACTTTGATCAAGGTGAAATATAACTAAATAATTTATCTCTAAGTGATAAAAAGTCCTTGACAAAAGAAACAGCGGTGAATACTACTGAATTTCAGGAGCATGATCTTTTCTGTATGTGGCTCTCTGTTAGCATTCCTGTGCTACCCACCCATACAACCAAACCACCTGTTTGAATACAGCACCTACATTTATTGTTTCTGACTTCTGGCTCTTCTAGCATGCAACTTATTATGACCATTGCTTGAATTCATAGACTGTGTGTGTTTGGCTGTCTCCAGGAATTCAGAACATCCCTGCTTGGACAGCTCAGGCTTCTACAAACCTGATCCCCCAACATGCTGTTGCAATCCTCCAGTCTAACCGCTGGCCCGGAGCATATGCCTTTGCATCTGGCAGGTGAGTAGCTAGCTGACATGGTTACAACACAGACTGTGTATGCTAAACACCTGTCTGATGAAGTCAAAGTTGCTTTATTATTAATTCATTGACTGAATTCTAACTATTCCAGAGACTGATGGAGAAGGGCACTTAACTGTGCACAGTAACAGTAAATATGTATTTAAGACTGAAAATTAATAATTTGAAAGACTAGTACAAAGTTAATGGATGTAAATGTCCAGTTGGTATTTGAGCACAGTCCTTGATTTAAAACCTATACTATTGAGTCTCTGATACTTTTCTCAGAACTAGCTACATCCTGTGGTTCTAATATTCATTCATTTCCACTACACACGGTACTGTCTTTTAAATACTTTGAAGGTATCTGCACCACAGTGACATTTTGCCCAGCAGGGTAAGGAAGCCTGACAACATCGCCGCTGATGTTTTGTCAGGGGGAGAATGTGTGATCTTTCACTTTTCTTTCTCAGGAAATTTGACAACATTTACTTTGGCTGGGGTCACAAATACAGCCCAGAGAACCACACTCCCGCACTGCCTCCGCCAGTGCAAGCAGAATACCCCAGCGGGCCAGAGATCACGGAGAGAGCTGACCCCACTCTGAAAGAGGAGCAGGCTTTCAGGGCTGCGAGGGAAGAGGCCTTAGCTGCAGCTGAGGAAGAGGAAGAGGAGGAAGATGCTGAGGACGATGAAGAGGAGGACGATGATTAAAATCCAGAGGGAAACATTTTTATTTTAAAAGTTTAAACATGAATAGTATTTTCATAAATTAGTCATTAACTAGTTGACCTTAAAAGCAATGCAGTTGGAGCAAGTGATCCGAGACAGCCAGCATGGTTTCCGATTTCTCTGGGCTGCTCTTGCAGCGCCCTTCCCCTCCTTCCCTGCCTGCAGAGCCCCCCCGCGCTGGCCTGAAGGCCGCATTGCTTTCACAGGAGGACAGCACAATAAACTGCCCTTTTTTCCGCAAAAATCCTCCGCTTTTGTTTCCTAAAATACCACTGCTGGGAGCTAAGGAACTGCCATCCACCGAGCGTTCCAAACCCCACTTCAATACCTACAGAATTCTACTTAAACAAAAAAAATTCAACATAATTACACAGCAATGTCGCCGTTATGTGTGAAAACACGCTATTTAAAGCCAGTACATAGTTTATTCAGCTGCACCGGCACCGCACCGCCCACCGCTGCGCTCCCGCAGCTCGCTCCGGCCACCCAGAGG